GTGATGCCAGGGAAAGCAGGATTAGGGCTGCTGCATGTGACCAGCTTGTATCTGTGGAGCATGCTTGGGATTTGGGGATGGATGCTCTGCAAATGGCAGTTTTATAATGCATAATCTGACATCACCTTGAAATATCCAGCCAGGGCATGAAGTATAGTTGTCATGTACCACTTTGGCATCCAGTGTCACTTGTGTTTCACTCTATTAGTTCAGAAGTGGCAGTGTATTAAAATCAAACCCTGCTTGTCCCTGCCAGCTTCACCAGCCTGGTTCTGTGCCCACTGTGCTGCCAGTAATCCCCCCCCACTGTTTGCTGTGAGGTTCATGCTGAGCCACTCTGTCCAGAGTCTCAGTGCAGTTAATTATCTGTATTAAAACAGGGTTGATAAGATGTCTGGAGAAGTCACACTGAGCTGTGCAGGAGAGCAAAGGAAATGAAGGACCAGAGGCAGTGCAGCTCGCACAGGACTAGGCTGTGAGCTCAGCAGTGAGCTGCGGTTCCACACGAGGACAGGCATTCAGGATGTTGTGCCCTGGGCGCATCCCTAACACAAAGAGGCCAGTGCTGTTGTTTATCCTCCTGGATAATGAAGGAAGAAGGAGCCTGCTCTTCCTAGTGGCAAGCATCCTACTCGAAAATGCCAAAGGTCCCCACCACAGTTCAGTTGCACAAGGGAAACTTCATCATTAACTTTCATGATAAACCAGCAACAGAGTTTTCAAAAGCAAACAGCAGTCCAGAAATGCCTCTTTCTGCAGGTGGGCTATAGCCAGGCAGGCCACTGCCTTGTGGAAAGATTGGAGCCCCAACATACTTCTTTTCCCTGTCTGGATTTCTCAGTCTTCCTGTGCTAAGGTCTCCTGGACACGCCGTTCTGCAGAGTTCTTTCCTAGTAGTTCTCCTCTTCTTTCCTCCTACCTCTTGAACCTCCTCCTAATTGTTTCTTGGTCTTCCAAGTTACCCTTCTGTCTCCCACAGAGATGCTAATGAAGTGTGAGTGTACATGGATACAGGCTGCTTGGGAATTTGAAAGGGCTCTTGCCCAGCCCTTGTTCTCTCATTAACCTGCTGCTGTGTGAGGAAGGAAGCGAGAGAGCGCCTGGTTTAGTCCCCATTTCAAGCCTTCCCTTAGCAATCCGAGCCCTTGAATATATATATATTTCTTTCAATATATGAACAAGTGTTATTTTGTTTATTAGGAGTGGAACTTGTGCCAACAGAATTGCCTGTGTAATCCATTTAAATCAAGAAGTTACATGCTGACACGTTAGCTGGGAGCAGAGCTCCTTTTGCCAACTGCTTTAGGGGCCATGAGCTCAGATTCTCCCCTGGCTTCATGCAGGTGGTGCCCAAGCATGGCTTTGTGTCCTGTCTGAAGAAAGATTAGTCAAAGAAGTGCTGAGCTGAGAGCAGGGACCCCCTACCCGAGTCATTTCATGCTCATCCTACTCAGCATCCCGGAGAAGAGCAGCTTGCTTTGTGTGTGTGTGTAAACAGCAGCTCAGCGAGCTGTGTGATAAAACTGCAGGATTTAAGGCTGGAGAGTTCAAAGGAATTGGGAAGTGGAGCTGCCTGTATCTATTAAAAGCAATGGGATGTGTCGAGGCTGGATGAGATGGTTTTGCAAATAGCAGCCAATGTGATTTGTCATCTCACAGCCTCATTGCTTAATAGGAGCAATGAATCAGAGCAACTTGCTGAGCAGAATCTGCATCCCCCTAAATAACCAGGAAAAGAGGGACACATCACCAAAGGGAAGGGTGGGTCCCATGAAACATTTCAAAGCAAGTGATATTTTCTTTATCACTTCATGTTTTCCATAGACACCACATTTTTCATACAGGAACTCAGCTGTAATTCCTATCTTTCTTTACAAGTAAATGATGGATGCTTCATCCCTGGCAGTGCTCAAGGCCAGGTTGGACAGGGCTTGGAGCAACCTGCCCTAATGGAAGGTCTCCCTGCCCATGGCAGGGGGTTGGAGCTGGAGGAGCTTTAAGGTCCCTTCCAACCTAAACCAGGCTGGGATTCCATTAAAAATATTGACAGTAGTGGACAGTCTCCTCCCCCCCTCCAGGTTTCAACCTTATGACACATAAAATAAACACATTGGCAGCAGCTCTACAGAGGGGGATGCTCTTTCCAACTTGCTCTCCATCCCAGTGTTACAATGGGATGCTTTCCTCAGCCTGGTCAGACCCGAAGTACCACATTTTGATCTGTCTGCTGACTGCCTATTGTGGGAAATTTGGAGGAACTCCACTGAAGTCAATTGGGTTGCCCTGGATTTACAGTGCTGTAAATGAGATCAGAATTTGGCTCAAAGTATATTCCATTAATGAGTCAGATACTGGCAATGCAGCCAATATGCACCCAGAAATGGCTTTAACACCGCCTAGGATATTCAGAATTGTTTTATGGGAAGATGGGCTGAAGGCCAGGATTCTGGGGTTCTCTTTTATTCTTTCCATGAAATACACCTTTATGCAAAAGGCCAGCACGAGGCTGATGCAAAACTTAAGAGCCATTTAAAGCTCTTAGAATAGGGTAGTATGAGATGCATAAACATTGTGCTGAGCTCTTTGCCCACCCCAGAGCAGATTTATCACTCAGAGTTCAAGACATTCTAGGATTTATCAAGTTTTACAGGATTTCATAGATTTTTCTGCACGTTAAGTGACACAGAGAGACAGTTTGTAAAATACAATGGCAGCAGGGATGATCTGTTGCAGGCCATAGATGGCACAGGAGGACAAGGGTTCACAGCTGGCAATTGGAAGAGCTACTAGGGGAGAAAGAATAAATAGGGATTAAATGGTTTTGCTTGGGAGGAAATCCTTTGATCAGCTCCTGAAGTCTTTAATCCAGTGTAACTCAAGTAAACACCTTACCTGAGTGTAAGCAGCCATATCCCAGGCTCTTCCTCTGCATCCCAGCCCCACGCAGCTCCGGTTGTGCTCTGCTTTCCCACCCAGTGATGCCGATGTGGTTTGTTTTGAAGACCTCCCTATAAAGACATCTTTTGTTAGAGGTGCAGAATCCCCTCCTTGTGACTGCACATGTCTAGAGACATCCTGGGTGCTGTCTGTCTGTCTGTGCCCAGCACTGGCCTGGACCTGAGCATGCAGGTGTACAAGTGCAGGCTGTGATCCATGGAGGCCGGTGTGTGAGCGCAGCGCTGTGGGAAGGGCTGACTCCTTGTGTGCAGCCCAGGAGGCTGAGCAGGATGCATTTCAACCCCTGCTGGGCTACTTACTGACAGCTGGTTATCCATGGAATCACGGAATGGTTTGGGTTGGAAGGGGCCTTAAAGCTCCTCCAGCTCCAACCCCTGCCACAGGCAGGGACCCCTTCCACTAGAGCAGCTTGCTCCAAGCCCCTGTGTCCAACCTGGCCTTGAACACTGCCAGGGATGGGGCAGCCACAGCTTCTCTGGGCACCCTGTGCCAGCGCCTCAGCACCCTCACAGGGAAGAGCTTCTGCCTCAGAGCTCAGCTCAGTCTCCCCTCTGGCAGGTTAAAGCCATTCCCCTTGGCCTGTCCCTACAGGCCCTTGCCCAAAGCCCCTCTCCAGATTATAACAATAAATTGATATAAAATATTCTAACAACCCTCTTCAGGTTATCAGTGGTCTGTGCTCTGCTGGCTGGTTTTGTGTAGCCAGTGTTACCATGTTCCTACTGTAGGTAATATTACATAGGTGTTCCAAGTAGTGAGCACCTTTCCTATTTATCTTCTCCTAAAACCCTAAGTAGCTCTGCAAGAAGACCTTTAAAATACCTGGAGCACTCCAGAGAGCGGGGTGTGTGTGGAGTCTGTGTGTGCAGATACAGGAGCCCCAGGAGCTGTGTGGCTATCTGGGAGCATTGATCCCAGCAAGGCAAATGGAAATGTGCTTCAAGTCCACATGATTCATTCTGGCTTGAGTCCTTCAAGCTATTTCCAGTGTTGCTTCAGATTCCTGAAAAGCAGAAAGCAGGACTGTGAACTGAGGGAGAGGTTGTAATCACCACATCCTGTGCACAAGAGCAGCTCGGGGGCTCACAGCAATGGGGATAGAGCAGATACGGTTAAATCTGGTGAGGCTGAACCAGAGATGTTGCAGGTTTCTCAGAGTCCCATTGCAGCACCAGGACTTGTCCCCTCACAGGGGAGGATTCAGTTCATCTCAGAGACGGTGCCACTGAATCGCGACAGCCTTCACGCTGGCATAGGCAGGGTGGTGCTACAGAAAGCAGGGACGTGATTCTGGGTTTACATGGAGTAACGGTGCTCAGAATCTGTCCCAGAGCTGTTTGCCAGCCCTAATTACACTGACTTCATAGCTGATGCACTTGCACAGTCAGCTACTCCTCCCTCCCTTCTCCCAGCCGGGTGAAATCACCTCATCCCGAAGGCAGCAGAGATTTCTCCACTGAGGTTTCTGTAAGGTCACTCACTCCCACAGTCTTTGCAGACCAGACACCACAGCCTGAAAGATGGGACCTACCCCAGTGAGTGCTGGTATCAACAAGCCTAGGTATAAATGGGAATTGCAGAGTGGCTGCCCCTTGGGCACCTCGCCTGCTAATTTGCACTTAGATAGGTGCCTTTCTCTGAGCACTTTATTAATTAAGGCTTGCAGCCCACCTCTAAGGCAAAGAAGTTATTACTGCCCTCATTTTACAGCAGCAACTGAAAGAAGTGGTTTGCCCAAGGCCACAAATCTAATCAGTGGCAGAAGCAGGAAGGAGTGAGCTCTTCCAGTCTCCTGTGGTACTCACTGCGCCCCGCTGCCTACCTGGAACAAAATTAATGGCTTCCCTAAAAGTTAATGTTTTTGTTAACGTGATGTAAATGAAGATGGAGCACCCAAAAGGAGCCGTGCAGAGTGAGAGCTCAGCAGGCATCCTGCAGTAGCACAGGGGTAACGGTGTCGTCTCGTGTTGAACCACCAAACCATCCTGCCCATAAATTACGTACCTCTCCTTGTCCGTAAATTTAGCGGGAGGGTTCAAGCATAAATTTCAAAGAAGCTTTTATTGTAAGCAATGCATCAATATAATTAAACCCAAACACAATTCTTTTGCTTTCTTAGGCTGGAGAGAACCCTGTGCCCTTGGAGAAAATTGTTTCCCTTTTCCTACAGGGATCCAGAGCCTGAGCAGCAGCTGTGAAGAGTGGAGAGAAAGAAAGAAGTGGAAGATGTTGGAAGTGCTTTGGGCAACGTGAAGAAGGATTTGCACAGAAGGAGCTGTTCAAGGGCCCAGCAGCAAACCAGAGACACATACATGCTTATATATAGAAGAATGTAAACCCTCCTGTATGCATACGTTAAGACGTGCATGCCTTGTTGAGAACGTAAGCAACATTCCTTGTAGATGATGGTGGTCTGAGCATTTGTGCTCCTGCAGTCTGAGTCAAAAGATTAGTGATGTCCTTGCTGTAACACTGGCAGTTTCGCCACTGCACCTTGTTTATGGCAACATAAACGTTCCTTTCGATGCAGTGGGGTGGAAAATACATCCAGAGTTAAGTAATACCTTGAGAGACCAAGCTTGCTGCGGGACGGGCACAGCCTTGCCGTGGGGCGGGCATGGGTGCTTGGCAGCTTGGACGACAGACAGTCTGTGTGTGTATATATTCAGTGCTATAGCACCAGGTGAGATAAGCTGTTCTTCTGACCTTAGTTTCTCTGGTGCTACATTTCATATTTGTCTGGGGCTAAACTGCCTCTCTGTGGTGCTACAGTTTCCCTGAGAGGATGTTCTGAAACATGGGACAAGGAAAAATCTATTTTGGTTATTGATATTTATACACAAGATAGCAAAAAAATACTACTTGTTGAGAAGGTGCTATTACTTTTTCTTTCTTTCAATCTCTGCATAAATTAAGACAAAACAATCTAGCCCAGAACTTTATAAAACGCATTTTCTTTGGGGCAGTTCTTTTTCTTTGGATGGTTGGGAGCTTGGGAAGCAGCATTCGCTGGGCTGGCAGTGACACACCAGCTCTTTTCACTGCAGTGGACGTCTGCTGGTGCAGAATCTCCTACAGCTCCAGAGCTGGGTATCCTCCTGGATGGTGATTTAAGCCTCAAATCCCATGAACCAGGGAAGGGAACTGCATCTAGACTAATCAATAAACTGGGGGATAACAGGAGAACCTGTCCTTAGAAAGCAAAGGGCTTTTTTCAGTCTAGTACAGCGCACTTTTTTCTTGCAGCCAAAACTACCTGTCAGATGTAGGATACCTTCCAGAAGCTACTGACAGTGATCACTATGTGCAGGGTTTTAGAAACATTTCTCCCAGCTTCAGATATTTGCACCACAAAATTGACCCTCCCGTGGCAGGGGGGCCGGTTTCAAGGGCATAAAGGAATGTCAGGAACCTGACTTCCGAAGGAAGTTTGGCTCCCTGTCTTTTTAAACCCCTGACCCTCACCCAAGGAACAAGGCAAGTCAAACCTTGGGCTCTTCACTACTGCAGGAGAAATGTTTCTAAGCAATCGCAAAGCTCAACTCTCCCTTTATCAACTATTCTTCAATGTTTTGGGCCCCTGCACACATCTTCATGGGTATTACTGATCCCAGTCAATTCACAAACAGCAGAAAGGGCTATGCTGAAAGAGCAAATTGTTCCTAATGAGTAACCTTGCCCTACTTTAGATTATGTGCAGCGTTGGGAGGGATCATGTAGCTACGTGTAGTTTGTCTATTGATAGTTTCGATGGTCTCACAACTACGGGGACCCACAAAACGTTTTCCTACCACTTGGGGCCCGATGCTCAGCATCCTGTCCCCTTCCTGCCTCAGCCTCCTGCTGAGATAAGTAAGAATTCTTCTAGCAAAAGGAGGAGCCTCAGCTGATTTGAGCAGTGTTGCAGGTGCTGGATCAGGCATAGTCTTAAAAATAGAACTTTCTGCAGATCACTCAAAGGAGGGAGTGGAATTGTGAGTACAGTGTTGCACAGTCAGGTTGGAACAGGACATGGGGAGGACGGGATGGGGAACTGCTCTACAGGACATGCAGCCTGCAGGAGGCCTTTCCTCCCCTACACCATCCTCCCTCCCCATGTGTGTACCCCACATACCCAGAGGCAGCCTTGTGCCAACCCATCTGGCACAGGATCTGGCTTCCATTTCTCAGTGCAAGACAGAGGCCTCTTCCACATGTTCCTCACCTTTAACAACCATTAGCTCCTGAGTTCTGAAGGTTTAGTAAACTTCTTACCTGGAATATGCATTATTCCATTTGCTCTCCCATCTCTGGGCATGCAGGATGTGCTGCTGCTGGCTCTCCTGCTGTTGGGGTCTGCAGGCAGGGGACTTCTTGAGGCATTTTCCCCAAAGAAATTCCCCTGAAACACCACAGAGAAGGAAGAGAAAAGGAAGTTCTGTCCTTACCATGAGTAAGGTCCTTACCTTGGGAAAGACCCTTACATCAGTGATCAACCTTGGTAGCAAAGCGATGGGCTCATCTGCCTCCATCCTAACCCTCCGTGGACAGGCTTTCTGGTAAAACCCCCAAGCCTCAGAACTCCCAGGGATCAGTGTCCTCCTTGGTGGTTCCTACTAGTCATCAAAACCATGAGGAGACACACGCTGCCCACTGCTACTCTTATGAACCAACCAAACCTATGGTGCTTCTCAAGTGAAAACAAGAGCAGGTCCAGTACCCCAAGTCCTGCTTTAATCTTGATTTGCTTCACTTTTGTCATTCTAAATGGGATGTTTGGTGTGAACCACGGGTTCAGTTTTGGACACTTTCATCTCGTAGTTGCTGGTTTAAGTGAGCTTTGCTAGAGGAGCAGCTTACCAGCACTTCACAGCCAGCATTCACTGTACATAAATGGCATTACTTCCTAGAGGGTACATGTTTGTCAAAGCCTTACATTTTCTGGTATAATTGCTATTCTTGAATGCTTCCATTTTTTGACAAGGGGTGTTTTTATCCTTTTTAAAGTCCTTGCTTGAACCCTGGTTGATGTTTGTACTGCAAAAGCAAGCATGCTGCGTACTCCCCTAGCACTGTTGTGACTGCACTGCAGCAGCTGTGTGAGATGGTGGCTTCTGCACCGTACTCATGGGTAGGAAACCAGCACAGTTCCTCGCTCGTGCTCCTCTGCTTTCTCCCTCGCAGCAGCCAAGAAGTCATTGATTGTGATGAGCTCTGCAGTTGTGCCTCTGTAAAGAAGGGGAGTGCTCTCTAAATGAGAAAAGGCCTCATCTTAGGTTTCAGCAGGCGGTGTGTGTGAAGGCCGAGGAGGAGGTTATGAGATCATAGTCTGTACAGAACACCACATAATGTGGCCGTGAGGAAAGTCGTTATTAATTTTTAAAGCTGCACTCCACCAGGACAGCTCCCAGCACACGCTGGAACTTCACACTGGAATAACAAAGCTGCTGTGCCCTGTGAAGCTCCTCTCCCCCAGCCTGGTGTTAAGACAAGTCCTTTGGCCAAATTAATCCTAGGACAGCACCGCTGTCTGCTTGCAGGTTACACCCAGGCCAGGATGAGGCCCATTAATTCCACATTCCTTCCTCTTCTCTCTTAGGATTATTTTCAGTAGTTAAAGTAATATGGAATGGGACCAAGCCTCCTGCCATACACTTTCATGTGCCCAGGAGAGGCATCACCCAAACCAGTGAGGTGTCAGTGGGGAGGAGCGAGATGCCCATCGTGCCTCTGGTTCAGGCATACAGAAGTGACCCTGATTCAGCTAAGCCCCATACTAAAGCAGTTTCCTTAAATCAGAAACAGCCACTCAATCGGTTTAATCTGATTTGGGAATTTGCTCTGTTTCTATCATGCTAAAATGATGAGAGACTTAAATCCATTGCAGAAGCAGAAGCAGCTCCTTTGAAGGAAATGGATTACAATCTGTTTTGGTCAACCTGAGGCAGTTTTGATGTGCACACAAGCTGTGGGATCAATGCAATGTAAGATGGAACTGTTTGGTGGAATGCTGTTTGGTCCTGCAGGCTGAGCAGGCAGAGGAGAATCTCACAGGTGACAGGGGAATGGCAAATGGGGAAGCCCAGCTGAAGGAGAGCACAGCTGCACTGCCATGTACACAATGGCAAGGACAGAACAGGACATCTACCTTAATATTCAATGTTAGTTTTCCTGCACGTGGTTTTGAAACATCTGTGACTTGACTGACATCTAAGACACGTGCAACAAACTACCTGTGGCTCCACATTCAATCCCGGACCCATGTTTTTTGTCCATGTCAAAACCTGGCTGTATTCTGCCTCCACAGAGGTGACCAGGACCTCCACATCTTCCCTTAGAGCAGATCTGCATTCTGTGAAAACACTGGGGTGTCAGCTGGTCTGCATGGAGGAGAGGAGTCCTTGAGTGCTGCTCCTACCTTGGCCTTCTAGTTCTGCCCTGGTCTGAAGGCCCTCCCTGCTGTGTACAGGTGTATATCCCTGTTCCCAGCAGGAGATGCTTTGGTGCTTCTTCCCTCTGCCAATCCCACTGGCTTGACTCACGTTCCATCTGTGTAACACAGATCTCAGTCAGCACATACCCCAGTGCACTGCCTCACTTGGGCCTTCCAGACCACAGCTCTGCCTGTGGCAGGGTGACTGTTCCAGGCAAAGCTGCAGGATTTCCACTCCCAGTCTGCAAAAGAAAGTTAGAAAACACAAAACAAGTGATTTTCTTCCCCCTGAAAGTATTTATTTGAATCCAAGAGTGAATTTTGATGTTATTCCCATCAGAATGCTTCAGAGTTCACCCTACTCAATCCTTGAGGGATTTAACAGGTTTTTCCAATATTTAAAGAAAGTGACTTTGGAGCTTGATAAATATTCACTGAAAGCATCTGGGTATTGAACTGCAATTATTAGTTACAGTTATTAGCTTCAGATGCCACCCAAGTAGAGAGCAAGGCCAACTGCAGTGGGGTTTGGTTTTCATGGGTATTCACATTTCCCATCAGTGTGAAGTCTAAACTTGATCACAAGAAAACAAGTGTTCCCCTCACCTCTGGTCCACAGGATGTTGGCAGCGTCTCCAGCCTGCAGCCAGGCTCCAGGAGGTGAAGTGCAGTGAACACACAATGCTTTGAGCATGGCTGGTTTGGATTTAAACCCTGGCAGAGTCACTGTGCACGTTTCCACCCTTACCAAAGCAAGAGCAAAGCGAAGCTCACTGCTGAGCCGAGTTCAGGAAGGCTCCTCGTTGTGACTGGATGGGGCTTCTCTCTTTTGTAAAACGAATTTCTTATGCTGAGACTCTTTGTACATATTTATAATGACTTTATTAAAAAAAGCAAAAGAAAAATGACTGTTCAATGGTGAAAAAGGCTCCGGGTCTTCATTTCCCCTCTGAAACTGGAGACAATAATTTCCACTGTGGTTCCTCATCAGCTGTCGCTAGAGCTGAAGCTTGCCCTCTATGTTCCCTGGTCCAAATGTCCTATTTGAGGGTGGAAGCATCCTGCCTCCCAAAGCCACCACGTAACAGGCCCGGAGCAGCATGGGCTGCTTCCTCCCCAGAACAGGGACAGAAGGGGGTTGTGACAATTTAACAGTCTGTAATAGTGGTCTGTGGTAAATTCCTCATCTTGCAGGAGTTAAGGTGATCTCTGTAATGCTTCCAGTAGAATAAACATCCAACATATGAATTTCATCACCTATTTAGCACTAATTCACCTTAATTCACTTTAGAGAAGTGGAGCACTGGGTGGCCCAGCACCCAAACCTGGTCAGAGGGAGGCACCTCCTGGAACGAAGGTCACCCATCGGATCATAGTGCTGCATCTTGTCACTGAGGTACCTGAACAGCAACTCTGCTGCCAACTGGTAAACAACATTCAATAACATAAGAAAAAAGGCTGTAAGAATGCAAAAACTATTCCTCACCTGTCCCTTTGATCGCCTTCATTATCACCAAACGAAAACAAAAACCATAGGAAATGGGATCAACCGCTATCTGTTGTGTTAGGCTCATACCGACCTTTCCATGCACTGCTCCAAATACATTTCCAGGAGCATGTAGTAAAAAGATCAGAGTTCGAAGTGGCTTTTCAAACACTTTCAGGGCAGGTAGCACCAGCCCTGTAACGAATGGGCATTGCCCTGCAAACTGGTGCTCAAACCTTTGTAAATCCCTTGCTACAGAACCAGTCATTTTCCCTTTTCCCAGTGACCGTACCTCACTACCACACTATCATACACAATGTTTCTGCGCCCACTGGAAACCTTCCTTCCTTCCTGAAGTCTTTTCCCCATCCCCAAAAAGGCTATTCCCATTAGAGATGGCCACAGACTCCTTGGCTTTCATGGGATCCATTTGACAACAATCAACTCACTTTCTTTTGGCAAGTGGAGCTTTTCCTCCTCTGCTCCCCTGTACCTCTCAAGCCAGATCTGGACTATCTTCCCCACTCAGGCTCTGCCTCTCCTGTTTCTCCTCTGGCTGTACTGAACTATTATTCCCAAAGAAATGTTGAGCCCTAATCCTGTTACCATTAGCTCCTGTTTGCTTTAATTCTCCCTGGGGAGTTTCCCAGCAGGAGGGGAAGGCAGCAGCCAGTACATACACAGAGGCTCATTTCCCCCAGGTACAGCTCTTCCTGATGATCCACTCAAGTGGATTGTAACCTTACAGCCATCTCCATAGTAATGAGCAGGGAAGATGCCACAGTTGCCTAATGAGGAGCTTTCTCTGGGCATGCAGCACAAAGCAGAGGTTGTTCAGTGAATGAGAAAGCTCCATCCCACAAACAACAACTCCATTTGTGTGGAGATGCCACTGCAGCAGCCTCAGCAGCGACGGGAACTGCAGCGACATGAAATGCGGTCATTCTGTTAACTGCACAAGGTATCCCCTTCAAAGAGCTTTTCCTTTCCACCACCACAGGTTTAAATCAGGCTGGCTCCTGAAGCTGCTGTGCAATTCTGCCCTCAGGGCAGGCAGTCTCAGGAAACTCAGCCTCCCTGATGCCCCAGTGCTTGTGGTACCAGTGGTGCTGCATAGACTCGCATGCTTCCTGGGTTTGGACCCAGGCAGACTCTGGATGAAGCCACTGTGCCTTCCTCAGGGGCTGCACTGAGAAGCGTACTGCAGAGAGATGTGGATCTATGAGATGCTCTGGGTTAGCAGCTTGACTTTAACCTCTCTCTGCCTCCCACTGTTCTCCACATACGCTAAGAAATCAGAAAGTCTGATCATGAAAAGTAAAGAGGAAAAATATTCCGGGTGTCATTTCCAGTGTCACTGGCATGGTCTTTCCCAAGTTCCTTGAGATTTCCAACCCATGCCATTTGTGGAATCAATTCCAAAACATGGCTGCTGGGAAAGGACATTGCTCCAACACGAAATGAAGTGGGGGCAGGAGGTTCTGAAGAACT